TTGGGAGGACAATTAACATACAAACAAAATAATAGGATGAACGTTACTTCCTCCGTCTCATATTAAATATTAGACTTTTCTCTTAACATGTCTTTTTTTAAAATCATGAATAAGAAGGTTAATTGGAAATAAATTAACGCTAGTTATATTATTTGAGAAAATCAGGTAGAGTCTTAATTTCCCTCTTGTTTAGGGTATAAAAAAGAAAACTTAGTGTAACCTTAAAGATGTGTCTACAGCTATTCAAACACCATTCTCCAAAGTTATAATACCTCCAGGTTTTACAAGAAGATACACAACAAAAGCTTTTTTGTACCTATCACCATGCGTCGTCCTATCTGTTACATATGTTTTGAGTGATAAAGATTAGATTTATCAAACACCCATTAACTCCAATTACAAGAAATTTTATGTTTTAAGAAATAGTCTCCATAAATATTCCCATGAACTTTTTTTCCTCGTTTTGACTTCCTACTTCAACTAGAGCAATGAAAACCTAATGCTCTATAAATTAAGCCCTTCAAACCTCTCAGACATTATAATCATTCAAATCTCCTATCAATAATATTCTGAACAAAAACAAATTAACATCTCTTATTCAAATATATTTTTATCATCATGTCTTCTTTATCAAAGTTGTTAATTCTAAAGACTTGCAATGGTAAAGTATTTGTACTGGACGAGACGATAGTCGTAAAGTCACAAGCTATTAAGAATATGGTTGAAGACGATTGTGTTTCAAACGTCATTCCCCTGCCTAATGTCCATAGCAAAACAATGACCAAAGTGATTGAATACTAGAAGAAACATTCGGAGGAAGGCGTCTCCAAAGACATGTTTATGGATTTTGACAAGGCTTTTGTGAAGGTGCACCACTCGATTTTGTACGATCTTTTCTTAGCTGCTAATTTTCTTAATGATAAGGAGATATTGGATATGATATGTCAGGAAGTTGCCGATAGGGTTAAAGGAACAACACCAGAAGAAATACGTAAAGAATTTGATATCAAGAATGATTTTACCCCAGAGGAAGAAGAAGATATCTATAAAGACAATGCTTGGGCTTTTGAATGATTTTATAACACTAGTGTTATTTTTTATTTCCCTTTTTTTTTCTAAATTTTGAATTAGAACTGTCTTGTTAGGTATACCCTATTTTATTTAGTTCTATCTTTTTTTGTTCCTTTTTATAGAATTGGTATTCGGTTTTTATTGATTTATAAATTTATAACTTATGTTGAAAAGAAATTAAAGCTATCTATATTAAATTTGGAATAAAAAATATTCATCCAAATGGTTGAAAGATGAATTTGATATCTCAAAAAGAAATATTTACATTTTTTTATTATTAATTTTGAGTTATTTTCGTTCAAAACATATCCAATTGACTTGAATGAAGAAAAATTGTTGGAAGAATGTACAGAAAAAGCGCCACAGTCCGAGTGAGGTCTTAATAGGCACAAATTCAAATTAATTTAACTTTCATGCGGATATTAAACAGAAGGTGAATTTTAAAAAATAAAATAAAATTGGAGGAACGTATTTATGTATCGTCATTCTTTTTGCACAATATATAGTGCATCTTGTAGGGTAATAATGGATGGGCTTAACATATTACAACAGAAGAAATCAATTATTACAATTGCTATGAAATTATACTTGTTGTACTCCAAATTTTAGGACAATATTTACTTCAATTTCTCAAGTAAATGTATCATTGACCAAAATTCTAATTAATTAAATGGTTGTATGTATATGTAATGTATCAATATTTTATAAATAGTGTAAGATTGTATATATGTATGATGTATAACTACATATTAAATATGTATAAATAATCACAAACACAATTATATAATATTTATACATTACAACACATCTTCCTCACGAGTTGAATTTTTTTCAATACCAACTAGCTCAAATCTCCTATAAATAGTCCTAAACTATAGATATAAGAATATTTCGATGTTTCAATTCTTTTAAAATATTATATATTCACTAGCAATGATCAATTTACATTTACGTCATATTAATTTTAAATTTTGAGGTTTGAAACGTTTTAATGAAAGATTTCAATGGACATCCGATTCAAATCTCCACCAAACAATCCTAAAATTTAGACATCACGAGCTCCTCTCCATATTTCTATTAGATATATAATTCACTCGAAATAATCCAACTGCGAAGATGTCGAATTTTATTATTTAAACTTACCCAAGTGTCCGGAGAAGATTTGAGTAGACACAAACATAATTAATAAATGATCAGATGGGCATTTCTATTGATTACTTAATGACCAGATAGAAATTCTCGATAATTAACTGTAAATCATGTTATTTTCTATTAGAACATTTAACCAATTGGTCATTCTACTTAATTATTCCAATTTACTATATCTAGTAATAACATATCATTTGAATTAAAATATAAAATAATGAAATTTGAATTGCAATACAATTTTTTTGTTGAAAGATAATATTTTATTACTTTTAAGTTTACACTTTCAAAAAGAATTAATTGTAAGAGTAAATGGGGAAAATGTAATCTATTTATCTCAATTAATTAGGACAATTATTTTTAATAATGTGGATAACTATATGGAACCGAGGGACTGGGGAGTACTAGATTAATTAATTATTTTAATTTTTCGATTACTTTTGTTGAAAATGTAGTCAACCACAACGATATGAGTGATCTTCCAATAGATGATTAAAGGACTAATGAATTCAGAACTTTCCCCGTAACTTTTAATTAAATTCATTATTCTAATAATCTGAGACAATTTATGTAGATTTTGCAAAGCAAATTTTTTAAACTTTAAAAAAGGAAAAATAATAACTTTTAATCTATGTAATATTTTACTTTCCATGTTCCGGTTACAATTTTGGAAAGTAATTAAAATCTAATGCACTATAAAGACCAAGCTAGCCTCATGTATTGAAATCATTCATTTATACCTCTCTCCATTTTCTTTATCATGTCTTCAGAAAAACTCATAACTCTCAAGACTAGAGATGGCGAGGAATTCAAACTCGATGAGTCTATAGTTATGAGGTCACAAATCATCAAAAACATAGTACAAGGCGTGGATTGTGCTTCTAACGTCATCCCCCTAACTAATGTTGATGGCAAAACTATTTGCAAAGTTGTATATTGGAAGAAACACTCGGAGGAAGGTGTATCAAAAGAAGTATTGATGGATTTTGACAAGAATTTCGTGAAGGTGGATCAGTAGGTTTTGTTTTATCTTCTCTTAACTGCTGATTTTCTTAACGATAAGGAGATGCTGGATGTAATGTGTCAAGAAGTTGCTGATAGAATCAAAGGTAAATCCCCAGAGGAAATATGTAAAGAATTTGGTATCAAGAATGACTTTATTCCATAGGAAGAAGAGGAGAACCGTAAAGAGAATGCTTGGTCTTTGAATGCTTTTATAACGCTAGTGTTATTTTCATTTTTGTTCTTTTTTTTTTTTAGAATTTGAACTGTTTAGTTAGCTATAGGTTATTTTATTTATTTCTATCTTTTGTTGTTCTTTTTTATAGAATTGTTGTTTGCTTTATTGATTTATAAATTTATAAATTATGTCGGAAAGAAACTAAAGTTGTTTACATTAAATTTGAAAAAGAAAACATTCATTCAAATGGTTGAGAGATGAATTTGATATCTCAACAAGAAATAACTTTAATTTTTTTAAAATATAAAATATTTATGTTACTAACACACACATTTGTGGCAGAAGAGTTGGACTGAGATATAAGGATTACTAAACAAAGAACACAAGCCATACGTTCACTTTATTAATTATCACTATTGTTAGACTTGAAAATGTCTAGGATCTATCAGACACGTCTCTCTACCTCTCAAAGATAGGGATAAAATCTACATACATCTTATCCTCTTCAACTCCACTTGTGGAATTAGTGTTGTTAGTCTTGAAAATAGCATTGAGGAAATAAGCTAGAGTCTTAATTACCCACTTATTTAGGGTAAAAAAAACTTGGTGGAAGCTTAAATATGTGTGTACAACTTTTCAAACACCATGGTTAGATATTACAGAAAAAATATTTTTTCTCCTAATTGAGATTTGGAAGAAAAAAAAAGGCTTCCTTTTCCTAATCTTACTCGGTCACATACATAGAGTTTAGGATTAAAAGGAAAACACCATAAGAAATACGTAAAGAATTTGTTATCAAGAATGATTTTACTCCAAAGGAAGAAGAGGAGATTCGTAAAGAGAATGCTTGGGCTTTTGAATGATTTTATAGTTATTTTCAAAAAAATTCCTTTTTTATATTAGAATTAAAATTGTCTAGTTAGCTATATCCTATTTTATTTTATTTGGTTTTATATTCTATTGTTCCTTTTTATAGAATTGCTTTTGATTTTGATTGATTTATAAATTATGTTGGAAAGAAATTAAAGTTATTTATACAAACTTAGGGGTCGTTTGGTAGGCCACATTAGAAGAAATGGATCATGTATTATGTAAGGTATAATTCAGTAATTAGTATTATGTTTGGTAGGAATTTCGGCCTATATATGTATAGTTAATCCATGGATTAGTTATACCTCCAGTATTTTAGGATGTATTACTAATACCTTCCATTTGGAGGTATTAGTAATACACATGATATAATACCATGTGATAAGTCTATGTAAAGACAAAAATATCCCTCAAATCATTTTAATTATTTTGTTTATTTTCTTGATGTTAGATTTATATTTGTACTAGTAAATTTATTTAAGTAAATTAACTTACAATTTATTTAGAGAGAGTTGTTTGTTACTAAATAAATCTAATACAAATCAATACAAATTTGAAATGTGAGTTGCTTATTTGTATATAAAATTTGTGATCTTAATTGAATATATATATATGTGTGTGTGTGTGTATGTGTGTGTATTTGTGTGGTTTTCTAATTATTTGTATTTTGAACAATTTAAAAAATTACATACATATTAAAACTACAACTTGCAATTTTTATGTGTAAATGTAGATGGTTTTTGGTTTTCAAAAAGCCATTCTCGGTGATGAGATTATTATCGTTGACGAAAAGATTGCAAACGTGTATACTGCCCCCTGATAGGACTGCAACCTAATTATGACTAAACTATATCAGTTGAAAAGTAGCTAGTCTCTGACAAAGGTGCTCTTGAGTTTGCTAAGCCATTTATATGCAATGAAGGTGGAACGGATTTCTCTCCAATCGCCTTTCGCCCGTACTCTCAGTACTCAGTAGCAGCTCCCGTATTCGCGATTCACGAGGGTTGAAAATGGATTTCGAACAATATGACAACAATAACTCGACATTCTCAAGTTCACCAATTGCATTGGGGACAAGTATATGTCAGTTCCATAGATCAAGGCTTTCAAGGACTCCTGAGTTGGTGATTTGTCACCACGCATTATGAACATAAAGTCCCAGGGTATGGAATCCCAGAAAGAGGCTGGCCCAACTTAAATGAGATATGATAGCTTATTTATGATCTAACATTCTTGCCAATACATTATCTTCATTTTACTTCAGAATGTAATCTCTAATGAAAAATATAGCTCCATGAGTAAAAGCTCCTGTCATGATGAATCCTGCAATATATTGGTGGTGGGTATATAATGCAACTTGAGTAGTAAAGTCTTGTGCTATAAATGCATAAGCAGGTAAAGAGTACATGTGTTGAGCTACCAAAGAAGTAATAACCCCTAAAGAAGCTAGAGCAAGGCCTAATTGAAAATGAAGCGAATTATTGATTGTGTCATAATGACCCTAATGTCCACCCCCCAATCGTCCCCCCGGAGGAATATACGATAAGGAGATATTGGATTTGATCTGAGTAAACATTGACATAATTAGTAAATGATCAAATGGTCATTCTGTTGTTTTAGTTTTTCAATTACTTTTGTTGGAAATATAGTCAAACATAACGATTTTAATAACTATCAGAAATGACAGGTCCTCTAATTGATAACTAAAATGATGAGTTTCGAACTTTCCTTGTAACTTTTAATTATATCATTATGCTAATAATCTATGACTGAATATGTAGATTTTGTAAAGTAAATTAATTGAACTTCAAAAAAGGAAAAATAATAAGTTTTGATCTATTTAATATTTTGCTTTCCATATTCCTACCACAACTTTGGAAAGTAATTAAAATCTAATACACTATAAAAGACCAAGCTAACCTCATGTATTGAAATCATAAATTCATAGATTTCTCCATTTTCTTTGTCATGTCTTCAGAAAAGCTCATAACTCTTAAAACTAGCGATGATGAGGAATTCAAACTCGACAAGTCTGTAGCTGTAAAGTCTGAAGTCATCAAGAATTTAGTACAAGACGTTGATTGTACTTCTAATGTCATCCCCTTGCTTAATGTTGATGGCAAAACAATGACAAAAGTGATTAAATATTGGAAGAAACATTCAGATGAAGGTGTTACGGAAGTTCAGTTAAAGAATTTTGATCAGGATTTCTTGAAGATGAGCCACTCAAAATTATTTCATGTTCACTTGGCTGCTAGATATCTTGATGATAAGCAGTTGGAGGAAGTAATAATCCAAGAATCTTTTGATAGGATCACAGGGAAAACACTAGAGGAAATACGTGAAGTATTTGATATCGTGAATGATTATACTCCAGAGGAAGAGGAGCAGGTTCATAGAGAGAATGCTTGGGCTTTTAAATGATTTTATAATATTTTCTGTTATTTCCTTAGCTATATCCTCTTTTTATTTTTATTTTATTTCTGTTAGTTCTATCCTCTGTTGCTCCTTATTGAAGAAATATTGTTCGATTTTGAATGATTTATAAATTATGTTGGAAAAAAATTAAAGCTAGTTGTATTATTCGAAAAAGAACATTCATTCAAATGGTGGAAAGATAAATTTGATATCTCAAAAAAAAGTATCTAAATTTATTCTTTCAATAAATTTGAGGTCTTTTCTTTCAAAGCATATCCAATAGACATGATATGTTTTCTTGATTTATTCCCATAATTTAAATTCTAGAAAGCCTCTTAACATAGATTTTTCCTTGAAGTTACACATAAAACAACAAATATGATTTTTGGTACTCAGAAATCCTCCTTTGAAAGACTATTAAAATTGCAAAACTAATATTGAAATTATCTAGCTAAAATTACACTTTCAGTTTATCTTTAGAAATACTATAAAGTATCTTCATATATTATAAGTATTTAAATAAAACAACAAAAATAGTAATAATAACGTAAGTTGGACTCTAAATTAATTATATGAAATTTCTTAATATTCTTACTTGATTTACCAAGACAATTAGCCCGACCATGAATTAAATTCATTTTCAACATCATTGAAGCAACATACCTATACCATTGAGCTCCTTTTAAGACAATTAATCCGAACATAATTTAATTTTTGATATTTCTCCATCCATCCAAATATAATAAGTTGATTGACTATGTTAAATACCTAATATATTTTAGACTACCTAGACAACTGAAATTTCGTAATTTTTGACGTCCAACTCAATTTCATATAATTAATTAGAACAAGATAGAAAAATCATGAAATTCCTTTTTAATACTATGTTATATGATTTAAATGTCATTTTAGAACTATACTGACTGTCAACATTCTAAAATTGATACTAATGTATGACAATTAATAAACTATGATTCAGGGTTCTAGTGTTGGAGCTTAAAAAAGATGAATGACTTGATTGACACAATAGTACATCTTGCAGGGAAATAATAGGTGGGCTAAATATATTACAATAGAAGAAATCAATTATTACTATTGCTATGAAGTAATTTGTGTAATATTCCAAATTTTAGTACAATATTTACTAGGGCTTCTCAAGTAAATATATCAACGGCCAAATTTTTATTAATTTAAATGGTCATATGTATATGTAATGTATCCATATTTTATAAATAATATATAATTGTTGGCATTTGTCTCAAAATTTATGCCGAAATGTCAAAAAGTGTTGATCTAAGCTTGGTATCAACAATACCTAAATAAAATAATCTCTTATTTTATAAATTTACCAGCACTCAACATATTTATATCAAATTAATAAATTATACGGAAAAGAGCCAAAAATATTCTTAGACTATTCGAAATACTTTGAATATACGCATTCATCTATTTGGCTAAAAAACCCTCAGTCAGCCTTTTTCACCTATTTTTTTTCCTTAAAACTTAATCAATTTTTTTAAAGTCATTATTATTACTATTATTTATTATGTGGCATCTTTCTATATGATCAAATTAAATCTTCTGTCACGCCTCGAGCCTACACCCTAGGCGGGACTGGCACTCGAGAACCATTGTTGGCCCCAAACGAACCTTTGGCCTGACTTACTTACTCAACAAAAGACTCTAAGCATTACTACAATGATCAAATGCATTTCTACTCAACTGTTTAATAAAATAACTTAGAACTTTTAAAGTCAAACATTCAACTTGGCCAAAGTGGCAACTCAAGTCTTAACATATGACAATGAAAACGAAAAGACTAAAGAACTAACATTTGGCTGTCTATCTATGAAGCCTCTAAACAACTGAGATGGATGTCGGGACAAGACCCACGACATTCTAATGAACTAAAATGATAAAGTAATGAAAAGGGGGGATCCTCCGAAAGCAATGAGGCTCACCAACAACTCTGAAAGCTCAACTCGGATTCAATGATGCGTTGGATGATGATCCTGGTTACCTGTGTTTGCATCATGAGAAGATGCAGGCCAAATGACATTAGTACATTGAATGTACGAGTATGCAAGGGGAATTCTAAAACAAGACATAAGCTTGAAAGGAACACTTACCTTGGCTTTTACTCAACTCAAATGCAAATAAAACAACAATAATGGTGTAGTTTATACAAAGCATTTAAAACAGTAGGTAGCAACTCAATTTGTTAAAGAAATGCAATAACAACTTGGTTTACATATAAAGTAATATAATACTGTGAGAGTTTCTCTAACCGACAACCATCCACTATGACCTAAGTGATGATATATCGTCTCGCCCATGCTGCCAGACTGTCCTATACTTTGCCGTCATATAGAACGCCTCAAATAAGTGGATCCACTAGTCTATGCTAAAAAGCACTAAGGAATCATCTAAAAAGTATGATCCTTTCTACCCATGATGGCTACATGGTTTATGGAGACTTGAGTTATTATGAACTCGCGTCCCCATATCGGTGCTCAATACTACTCCCAAAATATACTCAGCTCATATGTTTTAAAAACAAAACTCTTTCTGTTTGAGATAATTACTCAAAACTAGCTTAAAAGCTCTCTTGGAAATCGGTGTTTCCTTTCTTGCTCAAATGTGAAAACATTTTAACTCTTGGGAATACTTAGTTCCCGTATAATCTTTGAAGAAATGAACTTTACTCTTACTCTTTACTCAACTCAAACTTAAGTCTTAAAACAAAGTTAAAACGTTTGCAAAAGACTTTTGAAATGACTCTAAGAATTCTCTAGACTTGCTCTTAACTTTCCTTGAATTGAATTTATGGATTCAAGGATTGTGATTTGTGATAGGAAGATCTCATGATGTTTAGGAGTGTTTTTAGATAGTTAAACATGAGAAACGATCAAGAAATCACTTCTGGAAACTAGTCCGCGGCAGAGATGCATTTAAATATTTGGTCGCAAAATAAATTTTGAGGCAGAACGGTCCGTGACCGCTCCGCGATGCGAGGAAGAATTTTCCCATCCTAAGGAACAGGTCCACGTCGACCTGGAACTCAGATTCTCCCGATTTTTCCTTCTTCGTTTTCCAGTCCCAATTCGCCTAAACTCAGTTCTTTTTTCCAAATTCTCTTTAGATTCAGATACCCAGTAAATGTACCTAAGAACCTAACT